GTGTGTGTGTGTGTGTGTGTGTGTGTGTGTGTGTGTGTGAACAAGAGGGAGACTTTGCACATGCAAAGAGTAGTGAAGTTACATGAGTTTAAATACCCAGAGTTTAAATACCTGGGGTCAACCAAGGTACCAAACAAGTGCACAAGAGAGTGAAGAAGAGAGTTCAGGCTGGGTGGAGTGACTGGAGACGAGTGTTGGGGTGATTTATGACAGAAGGATAGCAGAAAGAGTGAAAATGAAGGTTTACAAGATGGCAGTGAGACTTGCTGTGATGTATGGTTTAGAGATGATGTTACTCACAAAAAACAGTTACAGTTTTATTACCTGAAAAGTAATTCTACAGAGGAGTTTAAACATAATTATTTGCACAGTTAAATAGTCTTTCAGTCTTTTAACTTAAGTAAACTTATTATTAGTGCAACCTGTGTAAAAATCAAAATATATTTTCAATACCTAATACCTCACTCATATAAAATGGCTTCTGTAAGAATCATACAGATTATATCACTGGACCATGCAGTTGTTTATGATTGTAATTACTTGGGTCTTAATAAATGGTATGGAGTATAAAGTATTCTTCTATATAATAGATTATTACAAAATATAGTATATAGCTTAGATTATAAAGCTGAAGCAGAAAGAAATACCTAAAGAAAAAAAGGGGGATTACAGTACATCTGTATGTTAGTAAAATACTCAAATGTGACATTAAACTTCTACGGGGCCAAGGTTTCGGATGAATAATAATACATCTAATTAAGAATTTGACAATTTTTTTTTTTAAATTTAATAAAGATCCCAAACCTACAAGCAGCAGCAATTAACAAAAAATATTGCACAAACTAAATAATACTGATTTGGCATGTCTACATCATGGAAGCAGTGCAAGGAAGATTTCTCAAAGGGCACCTTTTAGTAGATCACATTCTTGATTTCGCTTATTTTTCTTTTTCAACGAGGTGTCTATTTAGCATGCAATGGTCGTGCGCGCGCCCACACGTGTGGGCGTGGCAAAAAGAGGTACCTTCCCCTTTGCCAGTAAACTTGTTGAACAGCTGTACCCGCTGATGTCCCTACCTGTCCTTCACGTGCGCAACGAAGTGCCGCTTGGTCCGACTGGAACCTGCAGACAGGGACAATGACGGGACATCACTGGGGATACGGGAAGGAGGACGGTGAGATGTTCCAACATGCAAGCTCCATTCACTGTTTTCCTGCGTGGAGGCAATTAGCAATTTAACTGGAATAAACGGCCTGTTTGCGGTGCTTCGTGTTTTACTCAGCCGTTAAAGACAGCCGTTAAATCCCGATTAGCCCTACGCTTAAAGGGATAAACGGTTTCACCTCAGCCTGACAGTCCAGTCGAATTTGCCCTGAGTTACAGAGAGTGTAATATTTTTATTTTTGCTCTCTCTAATGTTCTTAAGCAGACTTATTCTGTGCTGTGCTACATTGCCTTAATGCTATTAAGAAAGTCTATCTGAATTCCCCGATACCTGTTTAAGACCAAAGTTTTAGGTTATGCCACCAGCCTTTAGTTGTGGCCTGGAGGGAGAAAGCTTCATTAGTTTAGTTGCAGGTTTATTGTTAGGTGACACACTAACAGATCTGGTGCAGATCATTGTAGTTGCAGAATTGTGTGTGTTGTAAATGTGTTTGTTTTTGATTATATTTGTTTCTCCCATAGGTCCCTCTTCATGGTATAAAAACTACCCCGTTGCGGAGGGGAACCGGCAATCACCAATTGATATCGTCCCCAATGAGGCGTCACATGACCGCGATCTAGGCCCTATAATGACAAACTATGACCACTGCACCTCCATTAACATCTCCAACAATGGACACTCCGTAGTTGTGGAGTTCAATGACTCAGATGATCGTTCAGGTGAGAAAATTGTGCTTTTGTTTTGTTTGTGTGTTTGTTTTAAATTCACTTCAACGATATTCTCCTTCCACATACCTGTTGTAGTGGCAGGGATTATATGTGTTACAAACATGCCCATATCTGTTTTTAGAAGTTTATATAACTGCCGTGTAACTATAATAGCAGCCGAAGACAAACTTGATCTTCAGTCTGACATCTGCTGCCAGTTACACGAGGGGGAAATCTGTGCTAAAAGTTTACTTCCAGTAATCCTTCCCTTGATTTCTCGAAAGCAAAAACCATATGTAAAGCTGATTATTATCACAGTTTGCAAATAAGCCTCTTATTATGCTGCAGGAAAGCGCAAGCAGCACTTAACTGCATGACTGTCTGTCTGCTGGACAAGAAATATAATGATGTTGGATGATCTCAGTGGTTATGATGACAATATTTGTCTTTATCACTGGGTGGATCTGTGTTAACCAGCCTGACATTAGCATGAATGATAAGCTCGGACAAGTAGGCTGTTTTGCTCTGACGGTTATCACAAAACAGCCAAATGGCTGTTTGCTGAAATATTGATAATAACGATGAAATAAAACACCCTCAAAAAAAACTGCCATCAACTACAACCTTAGCACGATTTCTCTGTATTTCAAATGTTCTGCACAAATCCTCTAAACCCGTTGTTTGTTTGCCATTACACATCTTCCTCAGAACTCACTTGGATGAGTGACAAAACTTTTGTCCCACTGAAAACGCCACATCCAGGTGAACAGAATCAACATTTTGGGAGTGCCAAAAACAGTTATACTGAGACAGGTGCACACTGTTAAAGTTGTTATAATAAAACAGAATTATAATAGCTAACAGGATTCATAAGTGCAGGAGGTTTATGCTCTTCTTTCCTCAGACAGATATTAACAGTAGCATTACGAAGGTCAGGATTTACAACAACATTGCTACCTGACTCTGCACATTATTCATTTATACATATTTATCACTACAATGTAGATGGTGTCAAATGATATCTACATATTATTAACAATATTATCATATTGTTGATCATTGTTTCACATTTTGTGCCACTCCTACACAGCTAATGTGACCTTGAATCATCTGATCCTTTTTGTCACAACGATGTCAGCAGCATCACAATGAATAACAATCATAACAGTGAAAAAGTCCACATCCAGCAATGCATACCACAGGCACAAAGCAGTCTGCAGGGTCTCTTGTTCTCATCGTGGCATAGATTAAAGTTACTATTTACTATTTATTTTTTAAAACTGAAAAACAAGTTCAAAATGTCCTAATCTTGATTTTGCATGAGACTGGCAATTTGCATCTGAAGCTTAAGCTGGTGCCACAGAGGTCTGTGATAGGTGACATTGGAGACTTTGCTTCTATATCAGCTTTGACGGCAAAATTTAATGATTTGAAACCTCCTGTTGTAGGGATAGGTACCGGTATCATGGCACTGGTTCTGACATAAACGGTAGTAACCAGACCGAAAAGCAGTGCACATTTCGCTGCTTTATTTCGGTGCTTTTTTTTCCTGTGATGTCATACGCTTTGGATTCCAGCCAATCATTTTACCTTTGCAAGCGTAGTAGGCGGGCCCAGGTACGTACCTTCTTTTAGAGCAGAGCTACAGATTGAAAATGCCCAAAGGCGAAGCGGTCAAAGTCTGACTGTACTTCACAGCAAAAGATGCAAACTCAGCAGCCTGCAACAAGTGCTTTAAGGTGATACTGTGCAAAGGAGGTAACTCCTCGAATCTGATGAAACACCTGGTGACGCATAGC